AAACAAGACCAGGAGACAGTTTTTATTTAAAACATTGAACTGTTTTAATTGGTCCTTTATGATGTGATGTTGCCCCTGGTAATAGGACTAAATTTGGCTTGAGGCAGCAAAATGCAACAGCGATCACAAACAAAAACTGCCATTTTAGTTTCTGTATATCAAATTTGGCGCGAAGGCGACATACACGATAGCCAATTAAGTTTAAGCTTAGTTTCTACTCCTCCCTTTTCTCCTTATATGGTTCTGAGCACTGCACGTCCAAATAAATGACCAGATCGGCAGGTGTAAAAGAGGACAATTTTCGGAGTAATCACATAAATTTGACCTTTTCTTTATTTTGTGCTATTTTACACCTTCAGAAAGCTTGCAATGCATCGCTGGAAACATATGGATGTCTTTTAAGGAACTTGTATCCTTTTTTCAGCTTGACAGCAGTGGTGTAACTAACAGCAGCGGCACTGTGGCTCGTGGATTTTTCTCAGTATCTGTACACACTTAAACAACAACATTAAAAGACTAAAATAAATGATGAAAATGTCTGATTTTACTGTTTTATACTCTCATCCTACCCTTAAGCTCTCACTCTGGAGGGTAAACCCTTTGAAGGGATTAGCATACTATCATAAAATAAGTGTGAACAGTATGCTTATTGTCTGCTATGTATAAAGCATGTACACTATAAATAGCATCTACCTTTTCGAGCGTGAATAGTCAAGTCAAGTCAAGTCACCTTTATTTATATAGCGCTTTTAACAATACAGATTGTGACAAAGCAACTGAACAGTATTAATTAGGAAAATAGTGTCAATAATGCAAAATGACAATAGTAAACACTCATTTTTCAGTTAAAGACAGTTCATCATTGAATTCAGTGATGTCAACATCCAGCTTAGTTCAGTTTAAGCAACATCATTGGCCTTTGGATTCTAGTCATTTATATTTTCATGTCTTAGCAACTAATAATTAAAATGGGTGAGAACCACGTTCTTCATCAAGTGTGAAGGACCCAATAATAAATTCAAAGACTGATCATATGATTGACATTTTGTTTTCTCTTGCAGCAGATGTGTATGTACTTTCACTCATGAAGTTTTAGGATTGTATATAAAGATTGATTAGTCGCATGACACTTAGAGGCTCAAAAGGTTATGCCGTCTTGGGCAATATGGCAGATTTTAAATTGCGTGCTTCGAGGTGGTCCTGCGCAAGCCAAGCAACTGTCTTTGAGATGAATGGAAAATGCTAACAGACTAACTCTCCAGATAATACAGACCTCCTTAAAGGTAGTGCCACATTGTTATTGCTAATTAAAGATGTATTTTGTTAAAATACACATCATTGGCCTTTGGATTCTAGTCATTTATATTTTCATGTCTTAGCAGCTAATAATTAAAATGGGTGAGAACCACGTTCTTCATCAAGTGTGAAGGACCCAATAATAAATGCAAAGACTGATCATATGATTGACATTTTGTTTTCTCTTGCAGCAGATGTGTATGTACTTTCACTCATGAAGGTTTAGGATTGTATATAAAGATTGATTAGTCGCATGACACTTAGAGGCTCAAAAGGTTATGCCGTCTTGGGCAATATGGCAGATTTTAAATTGCGTGCTTCGAGGTGGTCCTGCGCAAGCCAAGCAACTGTCTTTGAGATGAATGGAAAATGCTAACAGACTAACTCTCCAGATAATACAGACCTCCTTAAAGGTAGTGCCACATGGTTATTGCTAATTAAAGATGTATTTTGTTAAAATACTTGAGTAGCAGAAACAATACCTGACAAAACTCAAAAGTCTGCAATGGTACAGTGTCACCTGAATGCAACTCGGATATCAGAGGGCTAAAAATCACTGACACTGACTGAAAAACACTATAGAGAATGAAAGACCAAAAACCAAGAGCAAATGGCTAATGAATACACTGTTTTATTTAGACAAAAACATAGTATATCTACAACTTGAATATTTGATTCTCACTTAATGAGGTCTGATGATTGATTTCATAAGTAATAATGGCATCAGCTATTCAAGCGCACTCCTAAAGTCAGCAATTCAGGAATATGCCATCAATATAGATTTCTGATATTAAGTATTAACGTTTAAGAGTGCAATATATGATCTGAAGGGTCTCTTTCAGGAAGCTGTATATTTTATATATCTCCACTCTAAAAAATGCTGGGTTGTTTCAACCCAACTTTGGGTCAAATATGGACTAACCCAACCATTGAGTTACATTTTTACATTCAATTTTTAACCCAAAAGTTGGGTTAGTCCAAATTTGACCCAAAGTTGGGTTGAAATAACCCAGCATTTTTTAGTGTGCCCAATTAAAACTTTTTTCTAAACATTTTCTTACACAGATGTCACAGGGTCCTGATAAGGATCACAAAAAAAAAAAGAATAATAAAAAGTGAGTACTCATTAAAAAGTAATATTAATACCAGCAACACTGCAGAACATGACATTTGCTCAGCATCTCTTCAGCACAGAGTGATTTATTAATGCATCATTCACAGTTTCACAGTTGTGCCTAACAAGTCCAGAATCAAACAAGTCCTTGGGTTTAATAGAAGAATCTTAAGTATTGATCGTAAAGCTTGCTGACTGACAAGAACAGGCCTAACATCTGCCTGCTGAATTACGAGTGTATATCAGAGGCACATTTAGCATTAACAAAGCAATGCACATTCTTTATAGCTTTTATGAACAGCTAAATAACATGCCGACACGCAGAACACTTAAACGCTGTCGCACAAGGAAGATCTTTGTAGCTAAGGCATTGAAGCCATTTCTAGAAACGTCCACAAATGGTAAGGAAGGGTGGCAGCGAACACTAGATGGGTTCATCCATCCCAAACCATTTTTTTCTTTTTTGTTTTCTGCAAATGAGACCATTTGTCCATCAAACATCAATAGAAATGACTTAAGAAAGACAATGATAATGTTTGTTGGTGTGGTTTCCATTAACTTTACGATATCATTACATAGTGACATTATGTCAAAAAGTGTTCTTAAATATAAACCATATGAATACATACATTGCACTTAACAATGAAGCACATGAACGGAAATAACCCTCACCAATAAACGACGAGGGGAAGAAGCTAAACAACAAAGAAAGCAAAGAACAGGTTGTGTCTCTAAGGCCTCCACCGACGCCTCGCATTTTCAAATGTCTGATAGTTTGATCTGGGACAAGACAAGGCACTTTGCTACATTTGGCAGAGAGCAGAGGACCGTTTAAACACGTCGATATGGATCAGGAAACGCTGTCTTGACCCTCATACTCGACAACCATTGAACACCACACCCTAAAGTACTTTAAAATCCCAGTTTCCACAGATTCCCATCCCCTCTGACATGTGAAAAATTCAGTTGGCCAGGATCCTGACGTCCAGAAGCAATATTTCACTTCTCGTTCTACCTGTCAATGCAAGTCCCCAGATGAAGAAAGGGAAGTTTCTGCCCAGAGAAGAGGCGCTCCCAGTGTGTCGAGGGTCAACGGCTGCGCTCTGTGCATTCACTTGATACGTCCAACCAAAACGGTGTCGAGTTGTTGACCGTCGGAAGAAGATATCTAAAAAAAACAACTGGTTTGCCTGGCAGATGTTCAGTTGTCAATTAAAAACTTTGACCTACATACTGCAACCAAATTTTGCAAAAAAAAAGATGCTCTGCAGTTCTAGTATTCATTTGGCAGAGATTAACAGAGAGAATCATTTACCGTGTTTTACACGCATCTCTCTGTGAAAACCTTTAGTATCACTGATACACTATTATAGTTTTTCGTAACATTTTGAATTAGATTCATTTTTTATATTTTCTGTTTTCATTTTAAGTTTAGTTCAAGTTTGAGTATTTTGATGTGTTTTTGGTCATTTTTATTTAAAAACATTTCTATATAGTTAAGTTATTACGTTATTAGCTTTAAGTTTTGCTTCTGTTTAGTTATATATTAGTACTTCAACTCAAACTAAATGAAAATTTTGCCATTGCAATAACATTAGTTATTTCAAGAAAATAAGATTTTTACGGCCTTAATTTTAGTTAGCACTAATAACCCTGCTGATTTGGTAAACTGGTTTTATCTTGTAGTTGGAATAATTTTGATCTGTTTAAAAGGGAATATCAATGATAACTGGGTGCCGATCGTATTAGAATGAGTTTCCAAGTATCACATCAAACTTCTTAGTTCTACTGCACTTTTCCATATTTAGACTGCTGAACTCCTGAAGGAACACAGCGTATAGGTCTGTGGTTGTGAAGGACACTGGGATACGCAGAGTTTTTCGCAATCAGCTGTAGCAGGTACATATAATACATTTTCTGTGAGTGGGTGTTTCTTTTTTGTTCACTTCACATCAATCATTTGATTGTAGAGGAGAAAGAGAAAAGGTTACTTTGTGTTTAATGCAGGAAAATTGATCGAATGTTTCTGTTTTAAAGATTGTGTGTGTGTGTGTGTGTGTGCGTGTGTGTGTGTGTGAGTGAAAAGCAATATACCAATTGCATCTGAAGTCCTGTCTCTCTTCCAAATCCCTCTCCGGTTTCTTTTTCATCCTTTCTTAAAACTCTTTAAAAGTTGGGCCCAAAAGTCTGAGACCACGTTGAAAATCTGGGATTCAAAATGTAATTTAAACCAGAAAGTGTTTGGATTTAAAAAAATTTAAAACAGATTTCAGACTCTGCATTATTCCTTTTTAGGTCATGCTGGAGAAAGTCAGGCTTTGCACTTAATCATTAAAGAAAAACTTAAAAATAGTTTTGCTAATATTATATTGATGTTGAAGGGATTGCATTAAATTCTAAAAATACGAAACAGAATCTGAAGTCCTGTCTCTCTTCTAAATCCCTCTCCGGTTTCTTTTTCATCCTTTCTTAAAACTCTTTAAAAGTTGGGCCCAAAAGTCTGAGACCACGTTGAAAATCTGGGATTCAAAATGTAATTTAAACCAGAAAGTGTTTGGATTTAAAAAAATGTAAAACAGATTTCAGACTCTGCATTATTCCTTTTTAGGTCATGCTGGAGAAAGTCAGGCTTTGCACTTAATCATTAAAGAAAAACTTAAAAATAGTTTTGCTAATATTATATTGATGTTGAAGGGATTGCATTAAATTCTAAAAATACGAAACAGATTTTCACTGGTGGCCTCAGACTCCAGGTATTTAATAGTGTTTTACAAATTCACAAATAGTAATTCTTAACTGATTAAATATTTTAAAGCATTTAAATTCAACAGAGAATTTTCCAGGCCGTTTAAAAATTCCTGATATTTCCAGGTTTCCATGTGCATGAAGACCCTGGTGTTTCCAGCACACACTGCACCCTCCACCCAAAACAAAGTATCCTGGCATTGTTCGGAAGGGCCCTCACGACCCGCCGGGGTCACAGGTCACGGCTGGAGCTGGGCGTGGCGACAGCGGGCACCGGGTGGAGGCTGAGCTCTGCTGCGCGGGAGGGCGGAGTCACTGGCACGCTCAGGGGCGTGGCTTGAGGCTCAGGCCACACCTTCCACAAAAAGCCAGAAGAAGAGACAGGCGGACAGACAGACAAATTGAAGGGATGAACGGAGAGACGATAAGACAAGAGAGCACAGGAAAGGAGACGAAATAAAGATGGAAACGACAGACAGAGAGAAACAGCGTTTAGAGAGTGGACTCGCCAATGATCTGGGGTCTTGCAGGCTGAGGCTTCTCAGACGCGCTCATGCAAGACTGTAACTGCAGATCCTGCAGAAACACAGAACAGGACAGACAGTGGCACCTCTGCACTGCTGTGTGTGTGTGTGTCAGTGATGCTGTTTTGAAGTTTAGAAAAATAATGATGCAATAATGAAAATTCTGCCATTAGTTATTATATACCCAGTTTTTTCAGCATTTCTCTATTTGTGTTCCACTGAGAAAATAACAGCATACAGATTTTGGAACAACATTGTGGTGAGTAAATAATGACAGAATTACATTTTTAGGTGAACTGTCCCTTTAAATTGCACTTGTAAAAATAGAAGCCTAACAAGCACAACATTCTGCCCTTCTATTTCCCAACATTTTATGTCTTTTTTCTTTCTTCCTCTTTCTCATTCTGTAGAATAATATGTTCTTTCTGGTGCACAATGGGGCTCTAATTCAGCCTCTGAGATTCCCTGCTGGTACTCCTCAAAACTGAGAGAGAGACAGATGGAGAAAAATAACCCTTTTCCTCTGGAATGATACCGGAGATGGTGCTCGGAAGCGGGATCTGTAAACCTCAATTAAAACTGGTCTGCATTTCCACAGACTTCAGAGAGAAAATATTACATATATAACAAATATTTATATTTATAAATTAATTTAATTATACATTTATGTTCTTTAGATAATTTTAATTTTTTTAATTTACAAATTACATTTATAGGTACATTTAAATTAATGAATGAATTAATTTAATTATTACTTTTAATATTACTTATATATAATTTTATTTAATATATTTATTAGATATATTCAATTTATGATGTATTTGAATAAAACCATTTTATTTCACGAAAACAGGGAAAATAAAGTGGGCAAAGTAGCTGTGTAGTGTAACAAAAATTGTCACAATTTGTCCATTAGCTGAATCTAAAAATGCTTCCAGTGTGTACTTTGTTTAAATAATGAGAGTGATCTACTTTTTGTTTTGTGCCAGAGTGATTTGTTGTTCTGAAAACTTCAAGTGGTAATGCTTGGTTCTCGGTTCAAGACCAGCAGGTTTAAAGAGCCATTTCTAGGCCAGCTTTTTTATTTTTATTGCTTTGTAAACATGCATAATGGAGCCAATTTGGCCTCCGGTTCCAGCAGCGCTACACTGTCGGTGAAAAAGGGCTAAAAGAGAGAGAGTGAATGTGTGTTTTGTGTCTCCAGCAATCAGATTGAGTATCAGTCAAAGCAGGGAAAGCCAGTCTGCCACAGAGAGACATTAGAGCTGATATCAATTCTGTGGATGGAGTAATGGCTTAAAGAGACTGGCTTTTCCCCTTGATCCTACATCAGATGCTGTAATATCCATCAAAGGCAAGGAATTCTTCAGTCATACAGATCTGATTCAGTCTCTAGAGCCGTACGGCTCTGATTTCCCCACGGAATGAACTATGGGGTCGTCTGATCTCACTCCCGGAAGGACACTCTTATAATACACTCACATTTGTGCACACACACATACCTACACTCCCTTATGGTCCACTTGGTCAAGCTGAACCACAACACAGTGAAATAAATTTCATCATCTCTTCTACTATAGGGCTAAACAATATGATAAAATAGAACTGGTAAAAATGGGTATGTATATTGATAATTTCAACAACTTCATAAAAAGTCATAAAAATCATTTTTAATAAAGTTACACTATTCTGAGTTTTTTTTTTTGACATAATATATTGTTACGCTGTCTGAAGAATTATCTCTTGGCTCCAAATTAAAAAACAATAATAATTTGAATGATTTTCAAAATCCAAAAATATGGATGATGTCAAATAACTATGTGGTAATATTTAACATGTTTGTTTAATAAATCAATTATTTATTTGATTAATTTTCGCCAAAAAGATCTCTATCACTGGTCAAAATTGGACTATTTTGACAATTGTTTGACTTTTTTCTACATAGAAGAATAGGTGTAAACATTAAAAAATACATATGAATGTATTAATGACAAAAACTCTTTTGTGTCATTGTGATTTAAAATTAAGATTTTGGTCATACTGTCGCTCAGCCCTTTTTTTCTTCTTTCTTTTTTCTTTCTTCTTCTTTCACTCACAAACACACACAGATGCTAATATACATGGACATTACTCATATGTTCCCAATAAACATTCCCAGAGTTGTCCCTAAGGGCACTAAGGGGGTTAGGACTGATGGACAGGAAGACACAAACACACATTCACACACATACACATACACTAACACACACACACACACGCACGCATGCACGCACACACAATCTCTCTCTCTCTCTCTCTCTCTCTCTCTCACTCCATTTGCTGCTCAGTAAATCAATTTCACTGAGATTGTCTCTTTGGGGAGGGAGGAAGGAGCAACATGTTGGCAGCTGTATTGAATGTAAAATTCTCAGCATGTTTGTTATCTACCGAGAGTTCATGAACACACCAGCAAAGGGCTAAAAACCAACTGGCCCTAACTGTACAGTTTGTTTTTCTTCTTCTAGAAAACAGTTTAGAGGAATAGTTTACCAAAAAGTAACATTTCTGTCAACCTTTACTCACCCTCATGTTGTTCCAAACCCTTCAGTGGAACACAAAACATAATGTCATAATATTCAAAATGTATCAGGGGTCATATGATGCGATTTCACATTTTCCTTTTTCTTTGGAGTGTTACAAGCTCTTGCTGCATAAAGAAGATCTGTAAAGTTGCAAAGACTAAAGTCTCAAATCCAAAGAAATATTCTTTATAAAAGTTAAGAGTTAACCACGCCTACCTAAAACGGCTCGTTCTAACACGCCCCCACATACCTACGTCACTATGTGGGAAGATTTGCATAACGCCACCCAAATGTTCACGCAAAGAAAGAAGGGGTAACTTTTATTCTCGCTGTAGTATTGTTGCCGCCGCCGCCATGTCATGAAGACGTTGTATGTTTCGTTGTGAAAGTGAAACTACTTTGTTTGGTCTTCCAAAAGAGGACGATATCTGCTTTGTCATGCCTAGAGCTGATCCGTGCTGGTCGCTGAGGAAATACTTCAACTTTGCGCTGTGGATCGCTGGATCGGCTTTCACCGTGGACGAAGCAGAGTCCATCCTGGGGTCGTCACATGTGGTTGACGTTGTGTTTCATTGTGAAAGCGAAACTACTTTGTTTGGCCTTCCAAAAATGGACACGACTAGAAATCAGTGGTTAAGTTGTATTTACAACACTGTTCCAGAACACTTCAACCCAAATATTCAGATGTGTGCAGCGCATTTTATGGAGGACTGTTTCCTGATCCTGGTAGAGTAGACTACAATGCCGGCTGTTCAGACTCAAAGACTGTAAGTAAGTTTTTTATATTTTAATTTTTTTTATATTTAAAGCGAGTTTCTTGGGCAGTGTAGAGTAGGGCTTGGTGTTTGTAATTTCTCTGATCACAAATGCAGACATGGTTTTATGTTTACGCGGCGCGGCGCGATGCAACGCAACGCGTAAAAAGACAGTATAAATCATTATAATTCATAATTATGTCCCCACTGGATGTAACGAATCCCTCGTTTATAATGGGTTTTCATGTTTTTGAATCATCGCTCCGGCTGGACAGGGCATCATCACAGTATGGTAAGGGGCGTAACATTTCCATCACACGCTTGAGGTATTCGGCCAATCATAACGCACTGGATAGCTGCCCAATCACAGCACACCTTGCTTTTCAGAACGATGAGCTTTGTAAAAATCGACGCGTTTCAGAAAGGCGGAGCATAGAGGAGAAACAATAATGTACAGTATGTGGAAAATAATGTGTTTTTTTAACCTTAAACTGCATAAATACATTTCATTACACCAAATACACAAAATAATGTTCTTTTTAGCAGCATCATATGACCCCTTTAAGATAGACTTTTGAATGCTATCAAGTCAATCATATGACTTAAATCCTTTAAGTCTTCTGAATTGTTCTGGTTGTCCTTTTTGTTCATATGCATTGATTGTTAGAAGAGAGCATAATGTGAAAAAAAAAAATTTCCACAAAAGAAAGTCAGTCAGGTGAGCAAATGCTTACAGGATTTTCATTTTTTAGGGTGAACTATGCCTTAAATAAATTTAGAGAACATTCAGCAACACTTTATAATAAGGTCCCATTAGTTAGCATGAGTTAATGCATTAACTAACAATGAGCAAATCTTTAACATTAGCTGTTTAAAATTCTTCTTTATTTCATATTAGTTCATATTAGGTCAGTTAAATAGTATTAATGTATACAACTTTTGATTTTAATAATGAATTAATAAGTGTTGAAATTAACATTAACTAATATAAATAAATGCTTCAGAAGTAATTTTCATTGTTAGTCAATGTAGCAAATGGAACCTTATTTTAAATGTTACTAAGCTTTTATGATCTAAAACATTCAACGTATCAGACAATGCAAAGAACAGAATGTCTAAAGGTATGTTTACACAGCCACAAAATGGAATTTTTTTTACTTATAATCTTTTAAAAGTTTCGCATACAGACGACAACGTTGTTAAAATGGTCAACTTTCTCAAAGATCAACAAAAATGATTATAAATGCTGCATTATGCATGCCAGGCCAGTAGTTCTCTTGTCTCTTCTCTTGTGTGTAAATAAACACTATGCGACTATGCACGCATTCTTCTACAGAGTGGTGAATACAAATGCAGTTTTGGTTGTCAAGTACCGAACACGAAATACGCATGCGCATGACGTCACCATTTTCACAAATTTGCATTTTTGTAGTTTACGCAATAATACTATTGTTTTCAAAAACTTGCACTTTGAAACCCATTTTCAAAAGTTTACAGACACACAAAACGCTGTTGTCGTGTAAATGAACTACAAAAACACATAAAAAGTTTTCTGTATTTAGTTGAAAACGGGGAATGTCCCCAAGACTAAAAATATTAACACTTTAGCAATATAAACTAGGACTGGCAACATTAATGCGCTAACAAATGTGATTAATTAAAAATGCATAATGCGTTAAAATAATCTATAATAATGAAAACACCCATAACCCTGGTAGGCAGAAATGTCTATTTTAAAAGAAAATCAGATGGCACTCTAAATAAACGTAAAGTTGTGTGCATACATCGCGTTTTGAAGTACCATTTAAAGCTTATCGAGTTTGAAGTATAGTTTGAGCAAGCCGACGATGAATAAATGGTGTGTTTAATTTCACGTTAAGTGTGCGATTAATCGCACAGAATTGGGTGCGATTAATCGCGATTAATTTTTAAAATCTTTTTATCTATTGACAGCCCCCAAATAAACATTCAACAGCTTCATTAAACACATGTAAAATATGTGAAATGTGCTTTCAGAGTGACTGTACCTGGCTGCCCTGTATGTGTCCATTTAAGTCATTGTTCTGAGGCGTCAGGAAGGTATCGTGGGTTGTCGTTTTCTCCGTCCGCGGCACACTGGGATCTCCATCCTCCACGCCGTTTGCCTTGCGCACACACAGCACCTTCCGGAAACTCTGCTTGAAGTTGTCGGACAAGAACCCGTAGAGCAGCGGATTGGCGCAGCTGTTGGCATACGACAGGATGACGGCGAAAAAATACACCCCTGCCATCACGCTGCTCTCCGGGAGTATGAACACCAGGTTTACGATGTTGATGATGTAGAACGGCAGCCAGCAGAGGACGAACACTACCACGATCACCACCACCATGCGGGTCACCTTCCGCTCGGAGCGTCTGCGCTTCGTAAATCCCGCCCGTGCACCGGACGACTTCACCTTGACTACGATGAGCAGGTAACACATGCAGATGACTAGCAGGGGGCCGAAGAATCCGAGCGTTGCGGTGTAAAGAATGAATGCCATCGACCAAACGTCTCGTGGTTCCGGCCAACTCATGTTGCATGAGTTAAACATGTCCTGAACGTCAGAGAATATCACCACGGGGAGAACAACGATGAAGGAAAACGCCCACACCGCTGCGCTAACTGCTTTAGCTACTCGTGGTCGGCGCCAACTAGTGGAGCGGATAGGATGCACTACTGCTAAATAGCGATCAATACTCATCACTGTCAAACAGAAGATGCTTGTGAATTGATTTAACGAGTCTGCCGTCATGACGACGCGACACAGGAATGAGCCAAACGGCCAGTAGGAAAGTACGTTTTGCGTCGTGAGGAACGGAAGGCCCAAAATATACAGCTCATCGGCCACGGCCAAGTTTAAAATGTATATGTTTGTAACCGTTTTCATTTTAGCATAGCGCAAAACTACGTAGATAGCCAGGGTGTTGCCAGTGAGTCCAACGATGAACACGGTGAATGATATGACCGCAGTAACCATCGTGCTGCTCCCTTGAAACGGCATGCTTTGATCGGACACATTGCCAGTGTAATTCCCAACTGGACTTCCTGAAAATCCCAGTCCAAAGGAGGAGTTATAATCCTCTGGGATTGTCCCCACCCACCCGGATTGGTTTAATGACTCCATTCTGGATCTGGAATGGACAGAAATATAAAAAAGTGTCAGAAATTAGTGTCGAGGTAAGGATGAGTGAGCGAGAGAGAGTATAAAGCAGCAATGAATCCATAAAAGCTCAGTGGAAAGGTACATAGTTTCTCTTTATGCGTGTATGTGTTTGTCAGAGGGAGAGAATATGGCTTGTGTACATTTAATGTGCTTGAGCTACAGTGAGAGATCAGAGAGACTGATGATCACACCTCAGCTATAAAGATCAGAGTCAAAACAGCAAACCCACACAAGGAGACTGAAGTGACACAACGCACACATGCATATCTCTCTGTCGCTTTCTGTCTCCTGTTTCATGTATCTCCTCAGTGTTGCATAGTGGCACAAGTACGTTCATGCATTATAAACTATATTAAAAAGCCTGGTTTAAAAAACACTATATTTGACATCTACTAAACCAAATACTGTTTTTTTTCAAGCTTTTGAACTAAAGAGGCAAAACACAGTTAAGTATGGCAACAAATGCAATGAAAAAAATGCCTTAAATTTTTTTTATTGGATTTTGATTGATTCTGATAGCTATATTAAGTCCAGCGATCAATTTTCACAGTCCGCTTTCTCTAAATTTGAGCACAGTTCACCCAAAACCGACTGTCAGCACAGATCATAATCTAAGAGAGCTCATTTGATTTCAGTTAACCTAAAACAAAATTTTATGTGTGCCTGTTTTCCCTTTCATTGTATAGACTACTGTCACATCTCAGTAGCTGTAGGGTTTTGAATCAGTTAAATTCTAGTAAAACAATATCTAGTTCAAAACTATTACATAGTTTCTGTAAATTCTCACCTCCAAACCATATAATAGTTTTCAACACAATAAAATTACAATGATATGCAACTAAATAATGAAAGTATATGCTAACCATAAGTTTGAACTGTGTTCGAGGCAAAGTTGGGGCAACTTGTCACATATATTTATACAGTTTTTTTTTTTTTTTTACAATATTTTTTGGCCATAACGATGGTTTGAGATTTCTGTACGCACTTGCAACTCACAGCATTTACCCGCAGAATAAACGCACTGGCGCTGAAGATGCGTTGAGGGTCTCGACTGCTTTACTAAAAAGCATTTTCTTTCAAACTATCTGCTCTCACCTCGATGAAATCAGCTTGAAGTCGTCAAAGACAGCGATAAGAACGATGTGTGCCGGTCTTTCTTGCTTGGTTGCATTCTTTAGAGACATTATTTATTATGTTTGTTTAGAAATTAACACTTTGTTAAACTGCGTAAAAACTAAAATGCATATTATGCTATTCATCTGGGATGACATTAAAACTTAGTACGCTTAAACAAAGCACCAGGGCATTGAAAGTGCATTATTGGGCAATTCTAAAAGAATATATAGGCTATATAAGATTTTCTTATTTTGCGCAACGTCCCATACGATCAGAGTGTATCAACGAAAACAGTCCTGAAGCAAGTTAAAAATATCCTAACAAATATTAGGCTACTTAGATGGAATGTTGACTAAAATAATAATCCGAAACAGTAAACTGTGCTTACCTGAGTATGTATCAGTGAGACGCAGGAAGGTGTGAAACACCCCTCGAAGGAGACGAGAATAGTAGATAAATGTAAAAAACACCGAAAAACATAGTGCAGGTTAAATCTGTCAGCAGCGGGATCTGAATTATAGCTTGAGGACAGCCTTTTGCGCGCGCGCTCTGGCACCAGTGTGCAGCCTCGCGACAGGTGATGGCATCTGCTGCCCGTTAAACCTGGAGAGAGAGAGAGAGAGAGAGAGAGAGAGAGTG